ATATATATATATATATATATATATATATATATATATATATATATTATTTTATATAGAATTTATATATATTATTCTAAAAACATTTATGATTAAAAAATGTCAAAGAAATGATCTAAGAAACAATTGAAAGTACATAAATTAGTTATAATAGTTGTATAAGAATGTGAATTATTCGAGTCTTCGATTATTTTTTTATATATTCAGATATTAAGCTAAAATAACAATTTTTTACTAATTTTAACTTTATGCGAATAAGATTAATACAAATTAACACGCATATAGCAGAATATAACAAATTGATAGCACCCTATCATGAATTACAATCGTCCCTCACAGTGTCAGAGGAAAGGCTATGATGAAAATTACAGGATCGCAAATGTAAAAACATAAGCGTAGAAAGCACAATCTATGGCTACAAAGCAAATAGGATAAATGTGAATACGTGCGCGTGCCTAATTTGACGATCAAATCATTTCAGTTATCCGGTGTGAAGGAATTAATGGTGCGAGACCAGTTCAATCTCAATTCCTATCACCGCGAGTTCTCATTTCGTTCATTTTGCTTGACGAAGTTTCTAGGACAAGTTTCCACTCCTTTCACGAATTGTTTTTTATCAGTTTATATTTGCTATATCAAAGCAAAGTGTGAATTTATTTCGTTTATTGATATTAATAAGATATTAATAAGAGTAAATTGTAAATATTCATGACGATAAAGATAAAATATGGATAAAATAAAACTAACCTTCACCTAAAAATCAGCATTTAGAAAAATGCATCTTGTATGCACGTTTTAAAAAGGTGGCATTGTAATTGTTATGATAAATAATATTAATTTTTTACTATATTATTATTACTTGTTGCAAATATATTATTCTTAAAATAAGAACATGTAGTACAGGTTAGACGTAATTTCAATTAAAAGTCTTAGGATAAACCAAACTATTCGCGTTCAGTACAGCCTAACGCTTGCTTCATACAAATTGCCTTATTGTTTGTACGTGAGCGAACACTATGTATTCGTGAGCAATGTCGTGTAACGGTAACGGTGCCGGCTCTGCCGTTGCCCTTTCCATCAAACTCAGGCGTTTCACTTCTTTCACCTTAACAACTATTATCACTAGAAATTATTCCTCATTCTTTTTTACTTAAATGATACTTTCATAAAATTCAGATTAAATTATGACGATGCTTACGATGATGCTTTAGTCATACGTGGCGCAAATACATTTTGTAGAAATATGTGTACTGGAGTTACGGAGTTGTAAAAGCAATAGAAACATCGAAACGTCCACCGTGTGAACGATTGAGAAGACTGGAAGCTGCTTCGTTAATGCAGTTTTTGACCGTCAGTAGTGCCCCGCCTTGACCGTGGCTTAAGAATGTTGCCCGATTACAATGCATCGCGGCTGGGCTTCAGGTAATCGAACGAAAAACATGATTCGCGGGAACAGCAGTAGGCCGCTGATCACGATCATTTTGTAGTCGAGTGGGGACGAGTGACACTAGACGGGTAGGATGACCATGTGAAACTTACACTGGCAAGGTGAAGTCTGCCCAACTTCTGCATATTAAGATTGGACACGCGTCTAAACGAAACTGATTGATAAAAGTCTGCGATTGTGATAATTCATTGTGATACATAATGACCTTTATTCTTAATCTATGTCATAAATAGTAATAAACAAAGTGCTTAATAGATAGTGAATTTATAAAATATATAAAGTTAACGTAAGTCGTTTTGCTTTTCGTTTACGATAAGATTTTAACTATATGATATATATGGTATCCGAAGTATCACTTAAATTAAAACTTTTGTAACAAATTGCGATTGATAGTATCACCTTCTATATACATGCAATTTTCAAATATATTTAAGACATAGGTACAGTAATAAAATGTATATATTTAATCAAATTCTAAAATATAATATATCAAAATAATGTCTTATATTTGCATAAAATATGCAAATAAAAATCTTTAACACAAATGTTACTTAATTGTTACAGGTTTGGGAAATAACAGCACTTTGGCGACTTAGCATCTTATGGGTGAGTTGAAATATTTCGTTTTAATTTTTTAAAGAATACACTTTTTCTACTGAACGGATTTTAACCAATTGTATTTATATATTTTTTAAATCATTAATAACAAATCTGAAATATCAAATTTTTAAACTTAAAATAACTTAAACTTAAAATTTTAATGCATTTAAGATTTTTTTATATTTTAAAAAAGTATAAAAAGTTCTCAGTAAATCACATTATAAAATAAAATATACTTAATATTTATAATATAAATTTTCCAACTCCAGTTTATGTGTAGCTCAATTAATTCGAGAAAATTGCGTTTTTCCATTTTAATTTATTTACATCGAAAGATATATTGATTAAGCTAATGTTATTAAAAATAATATCATTAAATGTTATTAAATGTTATTAAAAATGTTATTAAAAATAATAATTTAAGTTCTCAGAAATTATATCTAAATTGAATCCATGTCTAATTAATATTATATTCCATTTTGATCAACTTTTAATCTAATAAAATACTTTAAATTATGTAAATTGTGATTTATGAACATAATGTATATAATGTATCTTTATTTTTGTAATTATTGTAAAAAAAAGTTGTGATTATAAAATATTTATTATTATTAAATGTTAAAATATATATTGAGTACGATCCATAATTTTCTATTTTACCCGCAATGCAACAAAAAACTAGGGTGTCACGTGGGAATTCTGAGTGTTCACATAC